GCTAAGGACCAGATGATTTTTATTATGTCCTGATACGTAAAACCATAGAACTCAAAGAGGGTGTACTTTCTTTTTCACACAACTCTATAAACAAGTGTATGCACTTCAAATTCGTGAAGTCCCTTTGCTCAAAAGGGAGCCACTATAACACAAGAGAGACATATGAATTAAACTGCATTCTGATCACATTTCTAGGGATTAACTAAACCCATCCCTATTTTTCTTAAAAAGATGGAGAAGTGCCCCTCAGAAATAAAATCTTTTTTTAATTAAATGTACCGTAACTTTAAAACTAAAGAAATGTGACAGAGATCCCAAAATGGTCTTCCATTAATGCTCAAGTACAGGACACTCCAATTCCTTATTCCGTGGCACCCCCTTAAACATTTAATTAAGCATACTTTAACAACCATGAATATATAGTTATTACAGAGAGGTTTCTGTAGACAGCATAATAAATTTTCACTAGAACAGGGGGTCTGAAGCACTTAGGGTCACCTGCTCATGCGTACAGGTCAGCAAGTGTTTTAACCAGGGATACTATCACTTTATACTTTCCCACATTTATACAAGTACATATCAATATAGCTGTTACCTTCTTAGACTTTGTCTCAAATGTTGAAGGAAGCATATTGGGGAACAGCTTTAAAGCTACTGGAAGCAAGAATTCCATGAATGGAACAACAAGAAAGACAAGAAAAGGGACCAACCGGAAGAGATCAGCACATATCCGAAGGAACTGTAAACAAAAACAAGTTTCTGTTTATCACAACAGGAAAAAGAAAACAGTCAACAGCCATTCCCTTGTTCCAAGCATTTCAAAAGAAAGACTAAAGGTGATATTATCATGTGGTTAATTGAAGATATTTTCTTGGGGGTGGGGGTTTCCTGTGCCATTCTATTTTCCCTTGATTTTCAGCATTAACAGAAAAAATCAGTTTTACGAAGCTCTTTTCTTTTCAGATCAAGCAACACATCCTTCCTACTTTCTATAGAGAGAAAAACTATATTCCCAAACTTCTCCTGTTCCAAAACATCAGCTTTACTACAACTGAAGCTGCAATCCCAGAGTTAATTGGGAGTAGGCCCTACTGAATACTATATGATTTATCTCTCAGCAGAGCAGGCATAAACAGCACTATTAAACTACAATCATCACTGAGTAAAAATGGCTCAACATCAGCTGACAGCTGAAATTTTCTCTGTATTAGAGAAAAACTAAGTTTTGTGCTATCAGAATGTGTTAATTTGCTCTATTTAGATTCATGAAACAGCTGCATTTCTTGTTAAAGACATAATTTTCTTTGCAGTTTTCATATCTGACAGTATATCGTTTTTATACCTTTGCAAGAAAAATTAGATAATGAGGACCTATTAAAAGCATGATAGCAAAATATATATTGGTATAACATTTCAATCACTGTGTTACTGAATTATTCAAATCTGGTCACCCTTTCTTAATTAAATTAACATTTTACTCTATACACATGCTCTTTATATGAAGTGAATGCAAACATGCTACATTTTTGTGTGTATATACACACATGCTTTTTCTTTTGTTAAATGTACAGTGGTACCTCGGGTTACGAACACCTCTGTTAACGAACTTTTCGGGTTACGACCAGCTCCGGCCGCAAAAATTTACCTCGATTTGCAAACTCCGCCTCGGGTTACGAACCGGATCCGCGGCCATCTTCCCTCCCGTGACACGGTCCGCGGCCATTTTTCTGCCCGACACGTGGTCCGCGGCCATTTTCCACCCGACACGTGGTCCGCGGCCATTTTTCTGCCCGACACATGGTCTGCAGCCATTTTCCGCCCAACACGTGGTCGTAGGGAGGGGGACTCTCCCTCCAAGCAATAGCCGCCTCCCTGTCCTCCACGCCAGAACAGATTAATGGTAATTACA